TATTATGCTTATTATTAGTATTATTATAATACTAATTATTATTATTAGTAGTATCATTATTATGTATATTATTCTTAGCAGTAATAGTATTATTAGTGTTATCATTGTTATTATCATTGTTGTTATTATTATTATTATTACTACTATTCTTTTTATATATACAAAACACACGTAAACATAGCCTTCCAAGGCCCTTGGAGGCGAAGCGTATCCCCCACACCTCCAACGTGCCCCAGAAAGCACGTACACGGATGTGTCTTGTAGTTTCCGGCTTCTGGGGGGGCCTCGTTGGGCCCTGCAAGCCGTCAGGAAACGGCTCGGCATGCAAAGCCGGTATGGGGAAAGGGTCGGGGCTTGCTGGAGATCTCGTACTGAACAGATGGAGGTACTGGATGTCTGGGTCCATATCCACTCCCTCGCGGTATGCACTCCAGGACGCGATCCCGTCTCTACGCAGTCGCATGTATACGTTCCGCCCAGGGTATCCGCGAGAAAACGACCCGTATCTGTGGCTTCGCGGCCCAGGGGCCCAGTCCGCCAGGCTTTGGATGTGAATGTTTGTGTGTGTGTGTGAGTGTGTGTGTGTGTGGTGTGTTTGTGTTTCTCGCCAGCGAGGAGGGAGAATCAGTATGGGTCGGAGAGGGGGGGAGGTGGTCACCATGAAGAATCGAGGATCGAGGCTCTTGGCTGTTTCTCCCCCATCCATGCAAGGGAACCCCCTTACTCCGTGCTGGCGACGTGCCTCGGGAGCTGGGGACGGAACGAGTACGTGGCCCAAACGCAGTTGGGCGGGAGGGCGGGTGAATCAAACACAAGCACAGTGTGGTGCGGGACCCGCAGTTGGGCGGGTGGAAAGTTAAAACATCTGCAAGCACTGTTTGGGGGATGCCAAGCACATCTGCAGCGCGTGGACGCGACACCCCGAGCCCGACACAACCCCCGAGCACCAGCTGGGATCCACGGGAGTGGGCCGCTTGCGCAAAGAGTTGGCTCGGTGCCCAATGAAGCGTGCGGCGCGGACATCAGTTGGGATGCCGGCCGTCTCTCTCTCTCTCTCTTTTTCTCACTTTCTCTCTCTCTCTCTCTCCCCCCTCTCCCTGTCCTGCGCAGACCATCCCCACGCGCACATGCCCAACCACCCCTGTGCTGCTTCCAGAGGCAAGGCAAAGGAGATGAGGTCAGCCACGGATGTCGTGCACCGCACAGCCCGCATGGGCGGGCCACCAGGCCATGGCACGTGCGCTTCTGAAAAAAACCGCTGGCGCAATCAGGCGTCAGATCGACACTTATCCGCAAGGTTTCGCACCCCTCCTAAGTAGGTCATTTCTGGGCCTCGTGGGGGCTTCTCGTACATAGACGCGGCTGGGCGTGTTTTTCAGAATTCTGGTCAGAGCGTGGTCGGGGAGAAGCCCGGGGGTCGACTCTCCGGTGTCGCCATGGAGAAAATGGTCCTGACGGAAAGGGGTCTTGTCGGACGGGGTTAGGACGAGGACGAGTCTTTTCCAAGGCATTCCAGGGACTCTCTGAGAAGGCCGCGGCGCCCGAGACATTTTCTGGAGCCGCCGGATCTCAGCTTTTCCCGATTGCGAAGGTCTTACGGCCGGCGCCGCCGACCCTGAAGGGGGACTTTGGAGGGTGAAAGTGGGGGTCGGCCGCAGGGTCCCGGCAATGATGTCTTTATGGGCCATGACTGGGCGATGCATCCTCGATTGCTGTGTTCGGCGGGGGAACTAATGGAAGCCCCCCGCCTGCACCCACGCGCGAGATTTGAAAGGAAAGGAAGCAAGGGGGCGGGGGGCTCGGGAAAGGCGACGAAGGCAACGTGCGCTGAGGGCGCAAAAAGAAAAGGCTGGAACACACGAAAGCGGTCAGGTGAGTGTCGAAATCTGCCCAGCCAATCTGACATGCGGAACAAAACGCCTCAGTGTTGGGGATCTTGAAGGCCAGGGCAAAATGTGAATTCACATTGTGGGAAAAAGCAAAATGTGAATTCACATTTTGGAAAAAAGGAAAATGTGAATTCACATTTTGGAAAAAAGGAAAATGTGAATTCACATTCTGGAATTTTGTGTAGGATTCTTTATGAAAGGGGCCAGAATGTGAATTCACATTTTGGGAAAAAGGAAAATGTGAATTCACATTTTGGGAAAAAGGAAAATGTGAATTCACATTTTGGGAGAAAAGTGGCCCCCATTCCAAATCTGTCTTGGGGGTCGAGAAGTCATCGTTTGGGAACATACACGATCATCAATCGCACAATCAAGACACACTTGCACTCCACTTCGCTGCCCCACGCGCAATATGCAAGAACCCCCGCACGAATGAACGATAATGGATGGACGGCGCGCGTGCCCGCGCGGGCAACGCGCGGGCACGAACGACTGGCCCTCAATGACCGCCAACGTTGGATGCCAATCGTACCCGTTCACATACATGAAGATACATTGAGCATACATGGGCCATTCAGACCCCATTGAAGACCCCCTGTTGCAGACCCCCTCTTTCACCCTCCAAGGACTACGACGAAGACAGCGACGATGAAACACATTGAAAACCAAGGAATGGGAGAGAGGAGGAGAAGGGGGATTGAGGAGGTGAAGGGGAGGGGGAAAGGATGGAGGAGGGATGATAATCATGAGGAGGAGGAGCGGGAGGAGTAGGGATGAGGAGCTGGATGGCGGAGGAGTCGCCACCGATTCGCCATCTACCAGGACGGGGGTGTAATGTTACCACCATGACATAATGGCAGCGCGGCGACCAGTTTACTGAGTATACACTGTCGGGCCGCCGACGACGACGACGCTGACGTGGATCAGAGTCCTCAGGGATGCTTCTTGGGGTCTGGTCGAAACGCTCTTGGGGGCCTCGGGGGACAGTGTACGGGTCTCTTGGGAGCCTCTTGGGGGCCTGCTGGGGCTTCCTTGGGGCCTCTCGGAAGCATCTTGGGGTCTCTTCGGGGTTTCTTGTGGGCATTTTGGGGGCCTCTTGGTTTCTCCTGAGAGTACCTGGGCTCGAAAAGCCAGTTTTGGTCCGTCGTCTCGGCACCTTCTTGAAGCCGTCTTGGGTGCCTTTGGGGCCCTTTTGGATGCGTTTTTGGCCGTCTTCGGGCTCTCTTGGGCCGTTTTGGGTCGCTCGCGGAGCAATCCGGGGCAGTCTGGGGGCGATCAGGGACGCCGCTTGGGCCGTCTTGGAGCGTCGGGAAGCGGGATAGTAGCCTGGGATGGGGGTCAACATATCCCGTGTTGCGTTCCTCGATCGCTCCGCCACAAAGCTGGGGGACGAGCCAGCCGCCTCCGCCTTGCCACTCTCGCGTCACAGGAAGCGGCCACAGGACGCGGGATAGACAGAAAAGCGGCGTGCAGCGACATGCGAGGGCATGGGTGCCCATTCGACCACTCGGCCATGTGAGGCTCACTGGCAGCCTTCAGGCTCATTCACGGAGGTAACTATGCTACGATAGGTTCGCGTTGTTGTTGAACACCGCCCGCGACCCCGCGGCCGGCGTTCAACGTTGAACGCGGCTAGCGACTTACAATCGGTTGATTTTGAACCCTCTGACGTTTCGGAAACGGCCGATCGTTCAAGATTGAAGGATCCCCGCATTATCAGAAGCCGATGACCAAGATGCAAAAGACAGCACCCAGGAAGGACCCTCATCATTCCTGGAATTGGCGGCGCAGCTCGCCAGTGAGCCCCCCTCTCTCTCTCTCGGGCGGACGGGGAGGAGGAGCAGCATCAGCAGCAGCAGCAGCAGCACCTCGCGGACATCGGCACGCACTCTTTGCGCACCAGCGGGCTACGCATAATTCCACAGTCTCTTCGCATGTCTTCTCGCCGCTGCGTGCTGAGGTCCTGCTGTGTTTACTTCTTCGTCCAGATCGGAGTTTATGTTATGTTGGATCTCATCCGCACGCTACGATGCCAGCTGATCTAAGTTCGCCTGACGCCAAGAAGCAGCAGCAGGATGCAGGTCCCAGGGGGTCCCGGAGCCCCCGGAGCCCCCCAGCAGGATGCAGGTCTCAGGGGGTCTGGCGGGCCGCCCAGCAGGATGCAGGTCTCTGGGCCGGCTGGCGGGGAGTTGCGGGCGCCCAGCGGCGCCCTGGGCCCTGGAGCTGTCGTCGGCGCGTTCACGGACCGAGTCTCAGGCGAGCAGTCCGCGGCCATACGTCTCGCCCCCTCGGGCTCTTCGGGTCAGACATGCCTGCGGCACGGCATCGAAAGAGCGTCACCGACGAACGCACTGGAGGCGGAGCGGAGAGATCCGATCGCAGCTGCCGTCGGGGCCAGCTCCTCCACCCCTCCCTAAACCATCGATCACGGGTCAGCGGTGGGGTCAGAATTAGAATCCACCGGTCTTCATCCTCGCCCTCCTTTCCAATACCCTCCCTCCCATCCCCCTTCCCTCTCATGGATTCTCGGCCTCCGTGGATTATTTGTCTAGGTCCTCTGTGGTCCTTCTCGTCCTCCTCGTGATCGTCTTTCTCGTCCTCTTTCTCGTCAGTCGCGTCCCCACCCTCGTCACCATTCTCCTACCTGTGCTTCCCAGGCTCCTGCTGCGGATGTTCATCCGTGTTCCTCCTCCGCCTCGCTCTCCTGCCGCTCATCCTCCTACAGCTCATCCTCCTGCCCGCCATCATGCTCCTCATTCTGCTCCTCCACCCGCCCTCGCTCGCCCCCCCCCATCCCCTCCGAGCCCTCCTCATCGTTTTCCTGCTTTTCCCGCCTTTCCTACTTCTCCTTCTCCTTCTCCTCCTCCTCCTCCTCCTCCTCCTCCTCCTCCTCCTGATGCTTTCTGCTCGTCCTTCTCCCTTTTCCTGCCCCCTCCTCTCCCTGCCCTCCTCCCCAGTCCGGTCTTCCACTGTGCATGCTGACCTGTGCTTCGCCGCAATCCCTGCCACAATCCCTAAGTACCTCCTCCTCCTCCTCCTCCTCCTCCTCCTCCTCCTCCTCCTCCTCCTCCTCTCCCTCTCCCTCCGCCCCTCCCGCCCTCCTGCTGCCCCAGCCAGCTCAAAAACCCGCCGCCCGGCGCAAGCGCGCTGCCCCTCCCCCCCCTGGTGGAGGGGCGGCGCCCGCGGGCGGAGGCATGGCGCCCAAGAGGGTGGTGGCGAAAAGGACGCCAGACCAGACGAACCGAGCGTTTTCTCTGGGTGGAGGGCAAAGGGTGAAATCTGAAATGCCGTTTCGATGGATTCTCGAGGCTTGAATCTGCAAAAGGTGAACCACAAGACGGATTGATTTTCGAGGTGCAAAAGCCCATATGGATTTCACTCTGAGCCCTCCACCCTGAGAGCATGCTCAGACGAAAGCGAAGAGGGAAGTCCCGGAGGCCTCGCGTGGCAGCTCGAGGCCCAGTTCACGCCATGGCCACGTCGGATTTCCGTCGGGTCCACGTCGGGTTTGCGTCGGATTCGCGCCAGATTTGCCTCGGAGCGTCGCCTCGCGCCTCGCGGATGGCGTCCCAGCTCTGGCGTGGCGGACGTGTGGACTGGACAAGACAAGTATTGCGCGCCGCGCGAGGCCTCCAGGATTTCCCTCACCAGCGAACGGGAAGATCTGAAAGTCGCCTGCAACACGCACCTGAGGAGAGGTCCAGGGATTGAGTTCCGGGGGGGGGGGGCGGGAAATGGGGACGGAGGGACGGTGTCAGCTCGGCCGTTGGGCGTTTCCTTTCATACCTTGGAGCCTCTGCCGCGGGGAGGGAACTCAGCTGCGTGAGCTGATTGTCTCCCCCCCTCCATGTGGTAAATCCCCCACTTTCGTCCGGCCTGAAGGACGTCGGTGAATACCAACTCTCCCAGAGGTCTCGACCCCTCCCCTGGGGCTAATTCCCCACATGCTTCGTGGGATTATGGTGTTCTTCTCTGCCGCGTCTCACCCGCGCTCGCTCACTCACATCCCTTTCCCCCTCCTCCTGACAGCACTGTTCAGCTCAGCACAGCACAGCTTAGCACAGCTCAGCTCAGCTCAGCACAGCACAGCACAGCTCAGCACAGCACAGCACAGCACAGGCGTTTCTGCGCGACCTGAAGCCCGACGCTCAGCACAGCACAGCACAGCTCAGCACAGCACAGCTCAGCACAGCACAGCTCAGCACAGCTCAGCACAGCACAGCACAGCACAGCTCAGCACAGCACAGCTCAGCACAGCTCAGCACAGCACAGCAGCACAGGGGTGGCACTTTCTCGACACCAGAGACGGTGCGCAGGGGGTGGTCCCTCAGCGCGGTCTCTATGCGTGCCAGGGACGGAAAGCGTGGCAGGTGTGGTACTTTCCCGACACCAGAGAGGGTGCGCAGGGGTGGTCTCTGAGCGCGGTCTCTATGCGTGCCCGGGTCGGAAAGCGTGGCAGGGGTGGCACTTCCTCAAAACCAGAGAGGATGCGCAGGGGGGGGTCCCTCAGCGCGGTCCCAATGCGTGCCAGGGTCGGAAATCGTGGCAGGGGGGGGGCATTTTCTCGACACCAGAGAGGGTGCGCAGGGGTAGCCACAGGGGGTGCGCTGGGGGTGGGGGCCCTATGCGGTGCAAGCTCCCAGGGCGTGGCAGGCGTGGCATTTCCTCAACGCCAGAGGGGGTGCGCTTGGGGTGGGGGCCCTATGCGCTGCAGGCTCCCAGGGCGTGGCAGGCGTGGCATTTCCTCGACGCCACAGGGGTGCGCTGGGGGTGAGGGCCCTATGCGCTGCAGACTCCCAGGGCGTGGCAAGCGTGGCATTTCCTCGACGCCAGAGGGGGTGCGCTGGGGGTGGGGGCCCTATGCGATGCAGGCTCCAGGGCGTGGCAGGCGTGGCATTTCCTCGACGCCACAGGGGGTGCGCTGGGGGTGAGGGCCCTATGCGCTGCAGACTCCCAGGGCGTGGCAGGCGTGGCATTTCCTCGACGCCACAGGGGGTGCGCTGGGGGTGGGGGCCCTGTGCGTTGCAGGCTCCAATCGCGTGGCAGGCGTGGCATTTCCTCGACGCCGCAGGGGGTGCGCTGGGGGTGGGGGCCCTATGCGCTGCAGGCTCCCAGGGCGTGGCAGGCGTGCCATTTCATCGCCGCCACAGGGGGTGCGCTCGGGGTTGGGGGCCCTATGCGTTGCAGGCTCCCAGGGCGTGGCAGGCGTGGCAGTTCCTCGACGCCACAGGGGGTGCGCTGGGGGTGGGAGCTCGTATCTTGTCAAGAACTGTAAACACCTTGGCTCAAGCCGGCTCGGCGCGCCAGCGCATGTGGGCATGGAGGTGAGATTCACCGTCAAGGTGTCTGAGCGCAAGAGTTTGGTCCCGGAGCAGCAGGCCACCATAGTGAGCTTCGTGTTCGAAAGCAGCGACCAGGTCAGGTACGACGCGTGCGCGCCAGGAGAGATCTTCCGACAGCGCTGTCTGCCTGCCGGAATCTGGATGCAGGTGCACAAGTTTGAGAAGCAGATCCCGGACGTGGCCGCCGCCCTCACCAACTTTTTCGGAACCGACAAAGAGAAGGCGAACGGCCTGTTCTGCTTCCCGCTCATGGAGGCGAACTTCAAGTGGACAAGCGCCAACAAAACGCACAGGGTCAAGATGTTCGGGTACGCGCTCACGCACGGGCGCTTCCTGACTGCCACCGCGTCACAGGGCCTGACGATCCGCACCAGGGTGACCATCGACTGCGCGCAGGACATGAGCATTGGCAGACCGGAGGAAAGAGAGGAGACCTGGTGGCTCCACCTGTACGTGATGCTCAGCAGAGCTACTTGCATGGAAGACATGCTCTTGCTTCGGCCGCCGCCACGGGAGGTCTTGCAGAAGGGCCCACCTCCGTCCGTGCTCGAAGCCCTCCAGAAGTTGGATGAGCGCATGGCTACGGAGACGCGGGAGATCGAGGACCTCGCTCTGGAACGCCAATGCATCTTGCCGGCGGCCTGAGGTCATTGGAACGCACGGCCGCCAGAGTCTTTCCGACGAAGGCATCGCTGTCCAGCCGCGTCGAATTCGCGTGGCCCGCGCCGCTCCTGGACGATTTCGGGGCGCCCGCCCAGCTTTGGGTGTCGTGGCAACCGCAGCCCAGAGATATTCCATCGAAGGGCGCTCGCATTTGGCACGCAGGCGGGTCACGTTTACCATGCAAGTTTTGCACTCGCGCACCTCAGAGACTCTCCGCCGAAGAGACGCGGCGACAGACGTGTGGGAACTGCATGAGACTAGAACAAATAGACCCACCGAGGACAGAAAGGGAGGCAAGGGTGCGGAAGAACGCAGCATGGGGCAAGGGAGAAAGGATAACTCTAGATGCTCCCTAGAGCGGCTGCGCAAGGGGTGCGATTTGCACCATCTTGTACAGTGGGCCCCCTCCCCTGACTACTCGAGCTGTGGCAAATCGTTCTGCGTCACCTCATTGCTCGTTGCGACCCCGGGAAACGGCCTTCGGTGACCGCCCCGAACTTTTTCCCGATGAAGGATGGAAGGCGGGGGAGAGGGAGGATGTTCAATCAGCGGTGTGATGGATGACAGTATGGGGAAACATTCGCGACGAGGGTTAAGAATGCAGGATTGCGCATCGATGATAATGAAAAGCAAACGCATAAGATTTAAATTAAGTGCGCGGGGTTTCCCGGTAGCGTAATTTCCCATACGAGTTGCCCATCCCAGATCAATGCTTGATTGCCTCAGGGCCCGAAAGCGGCCCACGCCGGCCCCTGGGCCGAAATGAGCGACAGCCCTCCCGAAGCTCGTTGACGCGCCCCGCCGCCGGGGTGACCTCCGGGCGCGGGCCCCGAGCCACAGGACCCCCGCACTGGCCCCTGCGCGCCTGAGCCTGCCCCCCCCCCCCCCTCTTTCTCAGCGGCCCCCTGAAGCCGCGCTCGCCGAGCGTGTTCCACTACTCGCAAAGTGCCTACTCGCAAACGTCAGAAAAAAAAAAAACATACGTCTGCCTTGGTGTAATTTGTCGTACACTCCCTGCGGCAGATCCAGACCATTTGCGAGTAGCGACTATGCGAGCAGTGGAGCGCGCTTGTCGACGCGCACCAAAGATCACGGCTGCCTGGGGCCCCTCTCTCGCGCGTCGCCAAGAGAGGCCCGGGTATGCGGCAAGCCCACGGCGCGTGTCGCGGGCCGGGTCGCGGGCTGGACCGCGGGGGGGACGACGCCGAACAGCAATCAATCAATCAATCAATCAATCAACCAATCAAACAAGCAGACAGACAAACAAACAAACAAAGGCAATAATCCGCATCGAGGGATCCCACTTCAGCCACGCACCCAGGGACAGCGAGTGACCGTTCGGCCCCTTCGCTCCGATGATTCGTGTTCCCCCGCGCGTCGCGGCCTGGGTCGGAGAGCGGGCCTGGCCGGCGCCGAGGTATAAGATCGAGGTCGGCTCGGGGAGGGTGCCCTCCTCGTTTGCTGCTCTTGCGCACCCCGGGGGGGGTATAACCTCGATGACGTGTTCTGCTCGTCTTGCCCCACGGAGAGCCTCGTGCTCTCGAGGAGTTCAACGTTTTCTTTTCTTCAGCTTTTTCAACTGTCAATGCACCTTAACAAACAGATTAGCCACGGTCCGGCTGTGCCCCCCTCGTGCGCGCCACCGAGTCGTGCGGACCGCCCGCCGAGGAAGGCCCAGGCCAAGGCCGGGCCGCTCGCCGGGAGGGTGCAGGGCCTGCTGCCCCCCTCGCTGGCGGCCCCGCCGAAAGCGCCCGCGGCGGCCGCGCCGCCGCCCGCCGCGGCCGACGACCAGGGCTCGGACGACGACGCGCCCGAGGAGGCTCGTGGGGCGGGTCGGGCGTACCCATCGGGTCGGGGGGGTCAGAGGAGGGAACGGCACCGGTACCCCTACCCTCGCCTCGCGCTCGCCTCGTCGGGCCCCCTGGGAGGCCCTCGTCGCCGCCGCTGGATTCGCGCCGAACTTTCAGTCAGAACGCACCCTGGGAGATGTCCAGAGAATTAGCGGCAGTTACCTGTTGGTTTTCCCGTGGTGTCGTGCCCATCGGGTCAGACGACCAGTTCTGCACACGTTCGGAGGTCAGTCCTGAAGTTTTCGGCAGTTTTCGGTGCCCGGGCGGTTTCTGATGGCCTGCGCCTCGTCGCAGGCGTTGGGGGTCGCCCCAGGCGGCCGCCAGAGGCCCGGGGTGTGGCCAGGAAAAAAGATGGCGAACACAAAACACGCACCCATAACCATAATTGGGACGGCGGGAGCTATGGGTGCGTGTTGTCGGATGGGGTCCCCACTCGAACGGGAGGTTCCCACAGGGTCCGACATACCGCACACAGAATGTCAAATTGTGATTAACAAATGATACTCCCCCCTGCACCCCCTCCGGGACTGATGAATAGATCCCGCGGGGCGCGACATATTTTTGTTTTAATCGCCAGGGCTCGGAGAACTCGGCGAACCACCGCGCCGCGGATGATGGCAAACGGCGTGAACGAGGAGGGGGAGGAGGAGGAGGAGGAGGAGGAAGAGGAGGAGGAGGAGCAGGAGGAGGAGGAGGAGGAGGAGGAGGGGGAGGAGGGGGAGAAGGATGAGGGAGGCGAAGGAGGAGAAGGATGAGGAGGAAGACTCCGCGTTGCTCGCGGGCCCGCGAGGCAGCTGGTGCCCTCGGCCAGGGCAGAGTAAGCGCATCGGTTCGACAGAAAAGAGGGGCGCCCTGGCTCACGGTCCTGGCTTCCGCCGCCCTGACCTCCCCCCCGCCTCCCCCAGTATGTGCTGCTTCTGTCACCTTTTCGCCGGCTGCTGGGCGTCGACGCTAACCACAGGCGCCGCCGCCGTTGTTCTTCAACTTGGCGGGCGCCACCCAGCGATTCGCCCGAGCAGGGAAACCATGTTTGAAGAACACGCGCCCCCCACAGACTTGTTAGTAGTAAGCTGACACTACCCATAACCAGTCCTCTCCCCTCCGGCCCTCCAATGGTCAGGAGGGGAAACACACAATTAATCGTCGATTCCCCTGAAAAGTGAAGTGGGGGGGGGAAGACGGAAACCCAGAACATATGAGAACATATGGGAATCCTGTTATTTGTGTCTATTCATTTGTGTGCCCCTGGGCCCCTTCAAATGGGTATGGCACGGGTGTGTGTGGGGTTCGTTCGTCAAGAGAGAGAGAGAGAGGGAGAGCGGGTCGGACGAGAGGGGCCCTCACCGCCGCCGCTGTTGTCACCAGGGGCGCGCAGGGAGGTCAGAGGGCCGAGGGTCGGACATCGCGGGGCGTTTGTTGGCCCTCGGCCTCGTCGCCAGGGCCGGATTCGCATTGGAGTTCTTTCGGGGAGACGTAAGACTCGAGTTGGCCAGAGCTCGGCTTTGCCGGCGCTTTTTGACGAGCGCGTCCTGGGTCTTGACGCTCCAGTTTTCGTGGGATGTCTTCAGCGCGAGCTCGCGTCACATTTCAGATGTGGTCCAGTCATTTGCACGATGGCCCTGCCACGCCAGACCGAGTCTCCCGAACTCGGGTTGAAGTTCTGAAGTCTCCCCGAGTCTTGCCAGGACTCACCCCAGGAGAGGTCCAGGGGGAGTGCGTTTGGGAGGGGCCAGGGGCGAAGGGGCTTCGACGAAACCCTCTGCGGTGTGCAGCCAGTTTCAGCTCCGCCGCCTGGCGCGTCCCTCGGTACATATGCGGCAGTGGGGGATCGGCTCCTGGGGGAACGCATAGGCGCCCAATCGCCGATGGGGGCCTTGATGCCCACCCAGCCCAGAACCGTGCGGATCCGCTATCATGGGCTTGTCGCTGGTCTATCGGCGATGTGTCGCCGCTTCCAGCTCGAGTTTCTCCCCTGAGGCGGCCCCCACTTTCACTGTCACTCAGGAGGGGGCGCGTATCCACACCGTCAACCTACTGAAAACACATTCGGGGGGGTTCGCTCTTCTCGGTCTTTGGGGACCCTTGCCTAGCCCCAGGGTCTTCAGCAAGTTGGTCGGGGTGAGAAGCCACCCTTTGAACGGGAGGGTGCTTCTGGGGGCCGCATTGCGAACAAATCAAGACATCGGATGTCAGGGCTCGGGGATATTGATTTGCGACATCGTTATTTCGCTTCCGCCCTCCAGGGGCCATTTCTCGGCCATGTGATCATCAGAGATGGACCTGGGTCGAAAAGGCCCCCCACGACCTGCGCGGGGTCGAGGCCTCTGGGGCGGCGCATTTACAAAAGTCACATCAGCGGATCTCTGGGCACATCGTATCTATGTCCACGGCCTCCCAGTCTGGTCTGCTCGGCCGCAAACCCTTGGACAAGGAGCGGCTTTGCTGATGCCCCGTGCGGAATGTATCCATGGGACCGCGTATCCATGGGATGGCGTTTCGGTATTTGGTAGCCTTCGGCCCATGCCGCGACAGTGCTTGCGTAGTGGATCAGAGTCCGCTTGCATGCTTCTTGGGGTCTCTTGGGCTGCCGCTTGGGGGCCACTTGGAAGCCTTGTGCCTCTTGTGTAAGCCTCTCGTAGGCCTCTTGGGCGCATCCTGGGCGCCTCTTGCCGGCCTCTTGGATGCCCGTTGTGGCCTCTTCAGCGCCTCTCGGGGTCCTCTTAGACTTGGGGGTCTCGGGCGCCGTCTCGTGCCGGGGTTTTCACCCCCTCCTGGGCCGAAGCCGTTGACCTAGCTGTGGTGCTCCAGTGCGTCCTCAGGCCTCGGGGGAAGCCACGCGGCGATCCCAAGAGGCGCCTGGACCTCGGAGGCCCGGGCCGCCCGAAGAGCACGCGCAGACAAAACACAGGGGATTCGGAGGGACTCGAGGACGCCGCACCCAGTGCCTACACGGCCCTGGACAAGCGATGCCATTTTGATGATCGATCTGCTTGTTTTCATCGCCCTCGGTTTTCCGTCGTTTCTGGCCTCTGGGGGCCGCTTCCGGGCCCCTGGACTGTCAGAAACGGACCTGGGGTTCAAACCTAAGGGGGAGGTCCCCCAGACGATGCTTCGACGCGACCTGCAAAGCTGCCATGTTTTTCCAGGGGGGGTGTAGCGGCACGGAGGAGGGAGGAAGGCCGCGAGGGCATGGATATACGTATACGGTCGGGAGTTTGGGGATCGCGTGTCCTTTTTGCGGTTCTGGCCCACCACGCCTCGGCGCGGCACGCTATCCACTTCGCGGTCCCCAGGCGTCCACGTGCTCAGTTTTTCCCAGCCTCCACCCCGCCAGTCGGAGCGACGCGACGCCGCGCGAACCTGCCGTATTGCCCCTCGCTCGTGAGAGGTGCAGAACCTGCCGCAGTCCGCCGGCGCCGGAGCAGCGGAGGCCGCCAGCCCCGCCGCCGCCGCGCCGCCGACTGGGCGCCCGCGCGCGGCGCCGAAGGGCCGGAGAGGCGCCGCGGCGCCCGAGGCCAGCTCGAGGAGCCGACTACACCCATCAGAAGTCGTAGTAGTAATTATAATAATAATAATAATAACAATAAGAAGAAGCAGAATAATAAGAAGAAGAATAAGAATAATAAGAAGAGGAAGCATCAGCTCCAGAGTTCGCTTCAGACAGTCAAGAATCTTGACTGGACCCTGAAGCGTTTCCTTGGAGCTTCTCTTTTCGTTGGGTGTTCGTATGTGTATGGAGCCTGGATCCTGGACTGCTGGGTAAGAACACGCCTGGAGTTCTTTCCATCTTCTCAGTTTCAAGTCGCTTCACTCTGAGCAGGGGTGTACGCGGAAGAGTCGGAGTCGGCTCGGCGTCTGAGGTGGCCAAACACTGGATGCGGCCAGCAGGAAGGGCGTGCAGAACCGAGGCGCTGGGTTCGGGGCAGTTTTGTGTCTGTTTCGGCCTCCAAGGATTGTTTCGGGCCGCAGGGCCGTTAAAAACGGATCGGGCTGAAGAACTGCACCAGATGGACTCCCGGGGACCGAGTTGGGGACAGTTTTTTGTCTGTTTCGGCCTCAGGGTATTGTTTCGGGCCGCGGGGCCGTTAAACACGGACCGGGCTGCAGATTTGCACCAGATGGACCTGTGGCGGATTTGGCTTCACCCCCCCTCCTCACTGATTCTCTGGGCCCCAACCAGGTCAGACCACCCAGCCGGCTCCCACGTGAGATTGGTCCTTCGCCAGAGTGGCCTCTGGTGCGGGCTTGCAGGTCGGCGCCGCCGAGACAGGTGCCCGGTCACGGGTGCGTCGGCGGCGCGCAGGAGGGCGGCAGGGAAGCGGCAGGGGCCCGGAACTCCCGCGCGGGAGGTCGCAGAAGAGCAGCAGAAGACCGCCGCAAGACCTTGCATCGACCAGAGCCCCCGTCCACTGGGCACCCACAAGGATGGCGCTGAACAGGGGTCCCCCGCCAGCAATGAAAATTCGCGCTCGGGTTCACCCCCCGCCCCCCCTTGCCCCCCCCTCCCCCCCCCGCGGCCCCCTGAAGCCGCACACCAGGGGACACTCTTGCCAAGGGCCACTCCCACGCGTGGAGCTGACAGGAAGAAGTACTTCTGGCAGGACTCGGGCTCGGACGGCGCCCTGACGGCGGTGCTCTGGTCACCATGAAAGAAGGGGGTCCTGAGTCGTGCTTCTGAATTTGCCCCCCCCCCCCCCCCTCCCCCCTTTTTGCCCACCCCCTTCGGAGACCAAAAACCTGCATACTCACAATCTGTCTCTGTGGTTTGCGCGTTTCCTCGTATCGGCGCCTGCGATGCAAGAAGTCCGGGCGGACCTCCGACAGAGTATGGCTATATGCAGTTTTTTGGTGCTCCAGTCCTGGGCCCAGGGACCGTCCAAGAGTGACGCAGGACGTAAAGTCGGTCCTGGGGGAAGCCCCAAGGTCCAGGACCCCGTCCCCCCCAAGGACCCCTTTTCCCTCATGCCCAGGTGCGGGAGGAAGACGCCAAGCGCCGACGCCCAAGGGAGAGAGGCGTCAAGGTCGAGAAGGATCGGAGACGAGCAGAAGAGGCCCCCACCCCAGTTTTCTGGAGTGTTTCGGCGGGGAGCGTGGCTGCTAATGGTGGCTCCCTTCTGAGGAGCCGCCCTGCCCTCTCACACGGCCGACGCCACGGTCCCGACTCTTTTCCAGACCCCCGATGTCGTGATTCGTTTCGCAACTTGGAACCCTGGATGTCTTGGCACACTCCCAGAGACCGACTACGCATCCCGAGCATTTGTCCACGGCCCCGGGGCCCGGGGGCCGAAGACGGCCCAAATCCGTCGATGCCCTCCTCTGCCCAGACGCGAGGGAGCCCAGGTCCTGCTCGCTGCCCACCAAAGGATGGCGTTGTCCTGGTCCCCGCCGACGGCCGCGCGACGGACGCGCCCTCCATGACCGCCAGCGAGTTCGTGACGGCGGAGCTGTTTGAGCGGCGCAAGCGCACGCGAAGCCTCAAGGACCGGAACGACCGCAACGTCCTGGGCAAGAAGGTCGGCGCCCACTTCCGGTGACGCCGGCCACCGCCCTGCCCAAGCTGTGCCGCCACGCCCCAGCACGTTGGGGCCGTGTTTCTCGGCCAGCGTGCCTTGTCGTCGCAGCCTGCGTTGTCCTCCTTCCTCTCCTCCATGGCGGTGTGAGCGAGTCCCGCGGCTGCCGCGCACCTGCGATTTTGGCAGCAGTGATTTGGATCCCCCGCTGCTCGGCGGCTCCGGGCATGCCCAGCGCGGCATGCCGCGACCAGCACCTGGTTGGCACGAAGGCCAGCACTTGCCAGCACGTTGATGTCGCTGGCTGAGGAATTGGTAGGAGAACCAGAAGTGTTGAGGTAGACCCTGCAACAAAAAAAGCATAATATCTCTTGGGCCGCCCATTCCTGTACAGCTGCTTTCGACGATTGTGCCGCGCGACGTTTCGGTTCCAGCGACTGTACGGGTCAATATTGATCAGCGTTTGCCGTCTGAAGCTTGACCTCTGGGCTTCTCTAACAAAAGTGCCCCTGGGACCGTTCTGTGGCGTTCTCGTTGCTCAGTACCCTCTTGGGCATCGCTTGGGGCACAGCGCAGAGCGCCTCCGGCGGAGATAGATACGCGTTCCCTCTTAGTCGGATTTCGTCGAGTCAGTCTACGTCCCTCTTCCTTGCCGAGACACCCTCGTGACAGGGCAGGCCAGGCGTGTCACCTTATGCTTTCTCACAGTTGTTTGTCGTGAAGTTGGAAACGTCAAATTCGAACCTGGTTCTCGACCCCGCTCTGGCTCCCGCTCGATACTCCCTTGCTTTATATTCGTGACCGGCGCTCCCGCCTCGGCGCCACAAGCGGCCCCCTGCAAACAACGACGCTCCCGATTTCATTCAAGGCTCCCAGAGGTCCTGAGGCGTCCTTAGTCCATGTTGAACCTCAACACGACCCCGCCCGCGACCCGCCCCGCGACCCACCCGCGACACATCCGCGACCCACCCGCGACCCATCCGCGCTCCACCCGCGACCCACCCGCGACCCACCCGCGACCCACCCGCGACCCACCCCGCAACCGAGCCCGCGACCTGGCCCGCGACCCACCCGAGACCCACCCCGCAACCGAGCCCGCGACCTAGCACGCGACCCGGCTCGCGACACACGCCCTTTCCACCCGCGACCCACCCCGCCACCCGCCCACGACCCACCCGCGACCTTGACAGCGACCCCCCCCTCGACCCGCCCGCGACCCACCCGCGACCCACCCGCGACCCACGTTGGTCACCTCTGCGGCCCAGCCGCCATCCACCCCGCGGCCCACCCGCGACCCGCCCGCGACCCACCCGCGACCCGCTCGCCACCGTGCGGTCACCACGACCCATCCCGCGACACGCCCGCGACCCACACGCGACCTACCGGCGACCCACCCGCGACCGCGACCTAGCCCGCGACAGGTAAGTTGAGGGCCACGCGGTCCGCCGGTTCAACGCCCGCGTCGCCCGCGCCACCCCCCTCACTCTTATCCGCAGTTGCGGGGTGCTACGTAAACATGGGGGCAGCTAGATGTCCGGTTTTTGTATGAAGCGTGTGGATTGCAGCATGAGGCTCAAGTTTGGTGCTTGTGACGCCGCTGGTGACGCCGCTGTTCGTTCTAAACACAGATAGGGGATCATAATCTGTCCAGCCCAACGATTTCCCAAACAAGAAGATGGACACGTTCCAGCTGACAGGCGTGAGACACACTTTTGAGCATCCAGACGACGTACATGAACAGGTCAAACGCAAATTGATATCGTTTTTCCATGCTGGCGAAGTTGTCAACAGGCGGGGAGAGAGCGAGGCAAATGCATGAGGTTTCTGGCCGAACAGGGATATCATAGCCATCGGATACGACCGCCGAAGTCATCAATGCGCAGCCTTCCGATTCCGTCGCTGACATCTGCACACGTAGCGGCACATTTCGGCCAACAGATTACGGGTCGAGGCGGGACGGGGAGACCACGGTTCAATGGGCCGTTTTGTCGCATCGCAAAGCATCGGGGAGATGCCATGCTACGCAGTTTCCCCCCACGCACACGCACACACACACACACCAGGGCGAAGAACTCGCCTTCGACCAGGACAACGTCAGTCTGTTCAAACTTTCCGCGAGGGAGAGGATAGGGGGATTGCGTGGTCACTGAGGGAGGCGGAGGAGGACAACGATGACGACGAGGCATCGCGCCGCTGGCTACCTGTTTTTTGTTCTGAGCGGCACGCGCGGTGTTGCCGCCCAGACGGCGATTTGTGTATTACATATGCCTGTGCGTATTTGCACATGTAAATAACGAGAGAGAGAGAGATATAACACACCAACACAACAGATCACACACACAACAACAACAACAACAACAACAACAACAACAACAACAACAACAACAATCATTTTAATACTGTTCGCCCTTATATGCTCGAGTGTCCAATAACGCGTATTTCCCAAACCCTCGATACCCGCCCTCTTCGTCTTCGATCGAACCCCTTTTGGGGGGTATACCTTTCTTCCCTGCAGGCCGGGCCTTGGCAAGCGGCGGGGCGGCCGCGGACCGTCGGCCTGGCCAGCGGCAGCGCTGATCGGCGGGGCGCCGCGGACCGTCGACCCGACCCCAAGAGGGACGGACAGGGGACCGACCACGACGACGACGACGACGACGACGACGACGACGACGACGACGACGACGTCGAAGACGACGACGTCGTCGAAGACGACGACGACGACGACGAGCGAAAGCGAGAGCGAGAGAGAACGACAGCAGGGCCACGAAGGGCACGAAGTAGGCCACGAAGGGCGACAGCGGGGACACGAAGGGAATGCGTATGGGGCCACGAAGAGTGCGAACGAGCGGGGGCCACGAAGTACAGATAATGCGGGGCCACAGAAGGCAACTATGGGGCCACTGAGGGTAGCAACTGGGCCACGTAGGACAATGAGGGGGACACAAATGACGACAGCGGGGCCACGAAGGGCATGCACATGGGGCCACAACGGGCGCGACTCCTGGGTGCCTGTGTGTCGGGAGCGCGGCGCTTGGGCAAATTGCAGGAGATCCCAACGAAAGGCTATTCTTCAGTAAGTTGCAAGCAAGTCTCCAGCGAGAGCGCGAGTCCAGAGCTCCGGAAGAGCGATTCCTGAATAAATTGTAAGGAAGTCCCAAGCGAGAGCGCGATTCCTGAATCAACTGCGAGGAAGTCTCCGGCGGGAGCGGGTAAAGAAGTCTCAGGCGGGAGTCGTTGTTGTTGTCATCCGGGGGCCAGGGGCCAGTTTGAACAGGAAGACTTTCCCTGTCAAAAAAAAGGGTGCGAGCGTCGAGGGGCACACTTTGATTGAGAAAAAAACAGTATGCACCGGTGAGGTGGGATCAACAATAATTATTGTTCAAAAATGAGAATTCAACAACGACAACAACAACAGTCTCAATAACAACAGCGGCAACAACAACAACATCAACACCATCATCAACAACAGCAACAACAACGACCACGGCAGCAACAACAACAGCAACAACAACAATAATAATGCGTCATCATCGCGCGATAGAGAGAGAGAGAAAGAGAGAGAGAGAGAGAACCACAACACATCATAAGCAAGCACACGCACACATAGCAGAGAGAGAAGCAGGAGCACCAAGCGACAGCCAACAATCCGTAGGATCCGTTCTGGCCCAGTTGGGTTGGGCCCCACCGCGCAATCGCCCGCAGGGAACGACGACGACCTGGGCGAGAGCTGCGCCCGGGCCGTTGGGGCTCCGCGTTGCCGCGAACGTCGCGCGGGAGGGGATGCCATTTTGGGGGGGAGGGCAATGCTCTGAGGAAGGTCTGCGCCTTCCCGTGGAGATCGAGAATCGCGGAACAGATCATCCTCGAAATCGAGGATTGGGGACGAGGAAGGATCCTCCTAGCGGAACAAGAGCATCGAGGAGGAGGATCCACTGGGGGGGAGTGCTCTAAGGACGACCACCACCTAAGAAATCGAGGACCGATGAGGAGGAGGAAGGATCTAAGTCTCCCAGATGGGGTCGGGGTAGATGGGGTCGGAGAATCGCCGATGCATCGGCGACGCGGCTTGATGTGGAGCCCGATTTTCTCCGCGCCAACGTCGCCGATGCACCGCCGACGTCCTCGATGCATCGGCAATGCGGCGTAATCCTCCAACCCCATCTACTCGGACCCCGTTTGGGAGGCTTCTATGTGCTCAGGACGGTCACCACCTCCTCTTGGAAATCGAGGATCGAGGAAGAGGAACAAAGGATGCCCACGAGAGGCTAACACATCCGTATCCGAGCCCTTGAGGTCTGGATTCCTGGGTGCGTTCCAAAGGATGCGCGGCCGAACAGATACGTTCCTCGCGGGCCATCCGCGAAACAATTCCCCGTATCCGCGGAATCGGGGCTCCCAGCCGGCGAGTCTGCAGACACGGATATGTGTTGTGCCCACGTGAGCGAGAACCAGAATCGAGGAGGAAGGAGGACGGCTTTGTGTTTCTGTGGGATTCCTGGCCTGGGCGACGTTTTTGGTCCACCTCTTGAGCCGCCTTCAGGCTCTTTGGGGGCCGCCCTGGGCAGTCGGTGCGTCCTCTTGGGCCTTCTTGAGAACATCTTGGGTGATTGTGAACTCATGGTGGAACTCGGATGGGTCCTCTTCAGGCGATCTCGAATGCCTCCTGAGCCGTCTTGAGCTGACGGCATGGCCGCCCAGGGACCCCCAGGACTAGGGGTGGTGCACGCGACTGGGCGCGACGTGAGAGCTGGGTGGGTCTTAGAATACTACCGACACCCTGCCAGGCAGCACTTGGCATTCTTATACGCCTCAACGGGCCAGGAGGAACGGTAGCGAATACGAGCAGAGCGTGCACGACAATAATTATAATTTAGAAGAACAGGCAAGGCGGGAAATAGAGAATCACACAAGGGCATAGAGGTGGGCACAACGGCAAGGTTTCCCAACATCCCCACCACCTCACTTTCCCCCATCACCTCTCTGAGTGCTGCGCCGTGCCTGGGGCCCGGCAAGGGCCTATGTCAAGATGCCAGTGGTTGCTGGAAGGGCGGGTGTAAAGATGCCCTTGGTCGAGCTGTTGGCTTGGCCACGGGTAAGTCGAAGCACGCGGAGGACCCCTTGATGATCGCAGCAGCCCGGGCGGAAGTGAGAAGGAGCAGGCTTCATCTCGGGGCCGGCAAAGAGGGGGGTGATGATTAGGGGGGGTGCATATCGTGGCGTGGGCCATGCTATTTCCTCGGATGTCATGGCGCCTCTTCTTATTTCGTCACGTCCCTGACCCCCCCCTGGGCCGCGGACATGCCGCCGGCCATGATTCGCGCCCCCCCCCCCCCCTCTTTGACGCCCCCCTCTTGGCCGACCCTGATTATCAGAAGGTGGCGGGGCTTCTCAGAAGCCATCGCGCCTCCTGACAAGTTTTCTGTGTTTTCGGGGAAGGCTTTGAAACAGGGGTGGACCAGGGGTGGACCTAAACTGTGTTTTGGCGATTTC